AAGTCCCAGTCTCTTTAACCTCTCTTCATATGGGACCTGTTCCATACCCCTGATCATTTTAGTTGTCCTCCCCTCTCTCACCCTCTCCTTTCCCCTCTCCCACCTCCTTTTCCCAGTCTCCCCCAGTTTTGTTCAATGAAGAGAGTTTTTATTTTTGCACACGTGTCCTTTATTTTGTACATGAGGAAGGGGGGCTAGGGAGGGGTAAGTGGAAGGAGGTGAGGAAGGAATGGGGTACGAGCTCCCGATGGGGAGGACTGGGGTGGCTCTGCAGGATCCTCGGGGTGGAAGCTCTCCTGAAGCCCCTCGATTGACCACCCCTCCGGATGGCAGCCTGCGGCAAGTGCAGCCGGGCTGATGGCCAAGTGCTGTGATGTGCCGAGTGTGGGCACTCAGGGCACTCCAAGCCAGGACTGCTTTGCAAGCGGGGAACCCCTGAGAACTGTCTGTCCGGGGTGGGGGTCGGGTCCCTTTAAGCACAGCCCTCGGCTAGCCTGAGACAGCAGCTCCACGCTCTAAGTCCTAACCTGCTGCCCTGCCGGCACTGCTTACGGCCAGCCTTAACTTCGGTTCAGGGTCCACTCAATGTGGACATGCTAGTTTGAATTAGCAAAATGCTAATTCAAACTAGTTTTTAGGTCTAGATGCACTAGTTCGAATTAACTAATTCGAATTAAGTTAGTTCGAATTAATGCTGTAGTGTAGACATACCCATGGATAGAGAGGTTAAAAATACTGGGATTTTGAGGAGCCAAAAATTAATAATTGGTTTTTCTGCCTACTGTACTAAGGTATCACAGGATGCAGTGGCTGGAACTCAAAATGAAATAAATTTTGACTGGAAATAATGCACATATTTTTTAATGGTGAGAGTAATTAACCATTCAAACCATTTATCAATGGTCTCGATTGATTTTTCATCACTGAGAATGATTAAATTAAGGTGGAATATTTCCCTAAAAGATGAGCTCTGGGAATATTTGTGCTGAAATCCTCAAGCCTGTGTTATTCAGGACAGTGTTGTGTAGACTAGATAATCACAATGATCCCTATTGGTCTTGAAATCTGGAGGAGTTTAGCCTGCAGGCTCATGAGTGAGCAGACTAACGGCTTTATTTTCTAGTCATGACTAAGTTGAATTCAGCCCTGAGGAGAGAAATTCTCATGTGACTGTGACACCTTGGAAATGTGACACTAGACATGTATTTCTCAAGGCTGAGGAATTCCATGAGCCATTGCACAGATGACCAATTTAGATGAGAAACGTAATGCCTTTGGCCCATGAAATCTCATTATTGGGATCTGAAGGTATGACTTTGCCATCAATGACTAAGGGTATGTCTACACTACAAAGTTATTTCGAATTAACTTTAATAGCATCTACATAGCCAAACCACTTATTTCAAATTTGGTAAACCTCATTCTACAAGGAGTAATGCCAAATTCAAAATAGCTATTTCAAATTAAGTGCTGTATAGATGCTTAATTCGAAATAGGGGGCCTCCAGCCCTTCCCCCAACCCCCGAGCCATTAAAGGGGTAGACCCTGGCCACAGTGCCTGTGCTAGCTCCAAGCCTGCCATCTCAGAGCCAGCAGAGCCATCCCCTAGACCCAGTGGCCCCAAAACATGAACCAGTAAGCCACTGGCAGCCAGCCCTCCACCGCTCCCCAGGAGCAGTCTGCCATCTGCCAGGAGCCTGACAGGGGCCAGAGAAGGTGGGCACTTTCCTGGTACAGGGTGGAGATCATGGACTTTATTCAGGTTTTGGGGGGATGCCCCCAACATCCATGATCTCCACACTAGATGGAGGAACGGGCCTATCTATGGCAGGATAGCTGCCAGCCTGGCCAGTGAAGGGAGTGTGGAGGCGTCGCTGGAACCAGCAGGGTAGGAAGTAGCCCAGGGCAGGGCCCTCAGGGATGGCCGGCGTGCTGGTGAGTTGCCAGCCACCCTTCCACCAGCTGGACAGGGCACAGTGAACCTCTCCTTAGGGCTCTGGACTGGGGCCCATGAGAGAGGGCAGGCCCGGGCCCCCCGCCCCACGTTCCCAGACCAGGGAGGCTACTGAGTCTATAGTTGTGGCCGCCGATTGCCGTCAAACCAAGGAGCTGACGAAGACGAGGGACTGGTACCGCAGGCCTCAAAGACAGACATGGGGGTGACAGTCCATGTACAACAGGACTTCTTTGCTGTCTCTCATGGAGGTAGACAAGCAAGTGGCAAACCCTGAGAACTGTCTGTCCGGCGTCGGGGTCGGGTTCCTTTAAGCACGGAACTCAGTTAGCCTCAGGC